TTTGTAAATTTCTTATGTTCTTATGTTCTTATAAATGAGATATTTTAAGTATTATTTAGCAACAATATAATTAGTTGTGATTTATCTGTTGTCTAACAAGTTTGCAATTTATTTGTTCTTAAGTTTACTTTTGCTGTTTTTTATGAGCTGGGCATGCGCTCACTGAGCAAATCATAATCATTTTCGTCGTTGCTCACTCACATTTGTGAGAAATTTAACAAAAATGAGTGAAGCCAATAAGTGAACAAGAACTGGTCACCAGAAGACATTTGTATTTCGCTGTGTGTGTCATGGCTGTCGGTGAAAACGACGACAAGTTAACCAGAATGCAAATGACTGACTTGCCTATATGACCAGAGACAGACTCTATTGGTAGATAAGTTCTGTTTCTCTAGTTAATTTTGGGTAACTTTTCAACTGTTTTTTTTTATATCATAATATTTATCACAAAGATTTCAAATATTACAATGTGAAAAATGAAATCATGCACTATAACTGCCCACAGCACAGTGTATTAAATGTCACTGCGTGCCATTGTATACTTGAGCTTTCTCTTCAATCTAATTTAATTTGTTTCAGTTTTATTTATTCAAGCTACTTTTAACGTTTTATGTTATCCTTTTGCAGCGATGAATAAAATCTCATTTTATGTAGAAAGAAATATTTTGATCCATACTCCATATACGTTTCCGTGTGTGTGTGTGTTGTGGAAAGGGTTGGAACAAGGTTAATCAAATATTATTAATTGACTAATGACTGCCGAAATTCGACTAGTAATGCTGGCTGAGATGCCCATCCCTAGTCCAGAGCTTCTCCTGGAATCCATCCATCCACTTTCTGTCCCTGCTTGTCCTAAGCAGGGTTGTGGTGGGGTCCGGAGCCTATCCCAGAATATTACCCATAATTAACACATCCTGTGAAGGTTTCTTTAATAGGTTAAATACTTCAGTGATGGCTTAATTCAAATACATGTAAAATGATTTTATATTGTTATGAATTTAAACACCCATCCATCCATTTTCTGTATCAGCTTGTCCTATGCAGGGTGATGTAAAATGAATTTCTATTGTAATGTTTATAAACATGTTAGAGTAAAACTTAAGTTTGCTAAGGATAAAGTTGTTTTTTTTGCCAAGTGGCACAAAAATGTAACGAAAATTCCCTGGGAATCAAACACTGCGTCTTTATCGACATTAACATAGCTAGTGATCTAAGTACACAGACGATTGACAAAATGCATGTAGGATTTTGACCTGTATTTTTGTCACACTAGTCATATAAGTCACTCTGAATCCAATGAATAAAAGCTAAAAAAAGTTGATGTGAATTTTGTTACATTTAACAGGTGTCTGGTTTCATCCATGTGACTCAAGTTTTGTGCAATTCCTGATGTGACAGAAAGCAGGGAATAATATTAAGGTCATAAAGGTCATAAAATTCTTCTCTTACTAGTGTATTGATTTAAACAAATTACTTTTAAAATTGCTGTAATTACTGTAAATGCAAAAAGCAGCATTTAGGTAATTTCAGGGTTTACCTCCATCCTTTTGTTTCTTTGTTAAATTTATTGTTAATTTGCTAAAAAACAGGTTTTTTTGTGATTCTAAACAGGTGTCAAAGTAACTTTTTGTAACTTTTGAGTAACAGGTGATTAAGAGGAAGTGAATTGGGTGGCAAATTTTTGCTTGCCAAAACATCGCTGTGTAACAATCAAACATGATGGTTTGATTATGTCAAGCTGAAACTGGAATTTAAAATATAGACAAATGATAGCAATGATGTTTTATTCAATGGCTCTCATATATCATTTTTTGTTTAAAACAGGAGCCCAGACAGAATTTAACTCTTCAAGGTGCTACAAGAACAGTATCTGATACCGCGATTGCCAAAATACATTCTGAAAAATATATTTTCCATTTTTTTTTCCTGAGAAACACAACTATAATGCAATGTATACATTTAATAAATAGTAAAAGAAAAAAAAAACAATTTGTTCAACTGCTGAGATGTACGGCATGAGTATTTACATGCGTTAACACTGTATTACTGGCGTCATATGCAAGCTGTTATAGATGCAAGCTAATTCATTTAATAGTGTACTTTTTTTTACAAGAAATGTGAGAACAAAAGGTTTGATCAATGAAGAAATGCACGGCCAATTAATGGGCAAGATGAAAAAGCTGTACAATAAATCAGCTTGCTTTATAAAATATTATACATTGGAATGAATTTGGGTCAGTTTAATAGACCAGGAAAATACTCGATGGACAGCTCATTTGCTGCCATGGAGACAAGCCGTTTTTCATTATTAATAGTTTTGACATTGATGAGTAAGATTGAGTCCTCTCTCTGTACCATGAAAAGTAAAATGGGGTTTTCAATATGTAAGCATTGCTGTTACATAAAGCAATTAAGTTCACTATTTGCATGAATGAATTGCTGTATTATTAATTTGCTTAGTGGATATTTTCTTACATAATGTATTGTCATTAGAGGATAGTCAGCATCTAAACCCTATGTGAGCAGCAACTCTGCTGCACATCTTATCAGTGATAATTGTTCACATCACTTTTTTTCCTTTGAAATGCATATTCTCTACAGGAACCACTCTGTACTCCTTCTTTAAGTCAGTCCTTCAAAACGCCAGCACTCCACTTGCATTTCAACAAGCACGCCGAGCTGAAATAATTGCCTTTGGGGGGAACCAAACGCAACGATTCCCAAGAAGGTGTCCTTACGCCACCTGGCCCAGAAGATGAAAATTCAGCACCTTGCCCAAAGCTGCAGCCTCCCCATAGCGAATATTGGCAATCCAGTCCAAAGTGTCCAAGCCCTGTACATCTTGCCAGATTAGACCTGGACAGGACAATCTCATTGATTTCCTTACAAAATGGATCTTTTGTTTAAATATCCATGGTTAATGGGTAGTATGTACTCTGCTGCAATCTTCACACCTCTATGAAGATTCTTGCATTCTGCAGATGCTAAGGACCATCTGTAA